CTTTGGGTAGTATAGCCATTTTGACAATATTGATTCTTCCAATCCATGAACACGGTATATTTCTCCATCTGTTTGTGTCCTCTTTGATTTCTTTCATCAGTGTTTTATAGTTTTCTATATATAGGTCTTTTGTTTCTTTAGGTCGATATACTCCTAAGTATTTTATTCTTTTTGTTGCAATGGTGAATGGTATTTTTTCCTTAATTTCTCTTTCTGAATTGATGCTTTTGAACTGTGGTGTTGGAGAAGACTCTTGAGAGTCCCTTGGACTGCAAGGAGATCCAACCAGTCCATCCTAAAGGAAATCAGTCCTGGGTGTTCATTGGAAGGACTGATGTTGAAGCTGAAACTCCAATATTTTGGCCTCCTGATGTGAAGAAGTGACTCTTTGGAAGAGACCCTGATGTTGGGAAAGACTGAAGGCAGGCAAAGGGGATGACAGAGAATGGGATGGTTGGATGACATCACCAACTCGATGGACATAAGTTTGAGTAAGCTCTGGGAGTTGATGATGGACAGGGAAGCCTGGCGTGCTGCAGTCAGGAACGTCAGGAAAGCATGACTCCATGCTGCAGTCATGGAGTCACAAAGAGTCGGACATGACTGAGTGAGTGAACTGAACTGAACATGCTCCTTCACGATAAGGGCAGCAACAAGCGCAAAGGGGAGGGAGAGTCCTGGGTTCCATCCAGCCACAGATTGGCCGTCTTACTCAGCCTGGTCAAGATCCGAGATTGAAATTGGCCCTAAGTTGAGGGCAGTACCACGCAGGGGCTGCCCTGGGTGAGATGGTTGGTGTTTCCTCAGCTGCCAGGCTTCATAGAGATTCCCACAGTGCCCAGGCCTCTGGCCTCCAGCCCCAGGCCAACAGCAATTTGAGTCCCATAAGGAAGTGATGTTGACCTCACAGGACGGTGTTACATATCAGGACTCCCTCTAAGGGCCAGCGTTGCTGGGTAAGGGGTCCGTGGATAGCTGGGGTGATGCATCCCCGTTCCTGCTGCTCCCCCACATCCCACATCTCCTCCAGGTCCTTGTCCTGCTCCATGGTCTCCTCACAGCAGTTCTCTTCCAGCTGCCAAAATGAGTCTCCACAAAATGAATCCAGTTCAGCCATCTGCTGCAATGCCTCCAGGATTCTCAGGTTCCTCAGACTGAAATCTGAGCTCTGGGGTGGCCTTCAAGACCCATGTCACCTCATGACCTCATGCTGCCCCTTCCCCTCTGTCCTGACCCCTCTCCCACCCAGTCTCTACTCAAAGTCACCTCCGTGAACAACGGGTTAGCTCAGATTCCTCAGAATGTGGGAACAAGTCATCCTGAAGTTCCTGACTGAAAAACACTGTTCTTTAGAGCAAATTTCAGGTCATTATGGAGTCAACTGAGTGAGTCATGACCAGCATTTTTCTGACAATGAAATAGAGTAGGAAAATGTCAGAGCAAGGGGACAGTTGTTTTGTGTGTTTTGAAGCAGGTTGTGTGTGTGGTGGGGGTACAAAATGAAAATTGTGTTTCTTGCCATGGGACTCAGGTCACAGAAGTCTGAGAAACACAGCTCTAACCAGCTGGTCACGGAGCTCTCCAAGGGCGCCTCAGTCAGTTGACTAGAAGCCTGTCACAGTAAAGCCCGCTGTTCTGTCTGCTCAAGGCAGGTGGGCAGACTGACTTCCTGGTGCTGTGCCTCAGGCCGTCCCAGCCCTATGTTGCTTCCCGAAGCTGCTTTGCTGCCCCCTAGTGTCGGCTGGTGGTCTCGACCTCAGGGTGACAGCCGACCTCAGCCCTGCGCCCCCTAGGGCCTCCCATGATGCGGGACTGAAATGCTGCTTTCTCACAAGGGCTGGGCCTTAGGGGTGTGTGTGTGTGTGTGTGTGTGTGTGTGTGTGTGTTCGTGTTCTTTAAAGATTCAGGCAATGTGTGTGTGTGTGAAATGCTGCTTTCTCACAAGGGCTGGGCTTTAGTTGTGTGTGTGTGTGTTCTTTAAAGATTCAGGCAATGTGTGTGTGTGTGTGTGTAGGGCCTCCCACGATGCAGGGCTGAAATGCTGCTTTCTCACAAGCGCTGGGCTTTATTGGGCCGGGGTGTGTGTGTGTGTGTGTGGTCTTTAAAGATTCAGGCAACCACCCCTAACCCTTGTTCACCCGGGGACAAGACCCCCCAGCCTCTCTGGAGATACACACGTACTGCAGACTTTCTGCTTTGGTGGTTCAGGTGTTCAGTTGTTTACAGCTGTCCATCCATTTGACCATGGCAGTGACCTCTGTGTCTGCAGTAGAGAGGGGACCTGGGGTCTACCAGGCCCCTTCCTGCCTTTTCAGAAATTATGCCTGTAATAGGACCAGTCCCTGATTGTCTCGCTTCCCTCCTGAGCAAGGAATTCCTACCGTGGCTTTGTCAGAAATCGCTATTTCTGGGCAGTCATTGGGATTAAGGGATGATCTGTGTTACCTCACCTTCTCAGTTCTTACCTTCAATTTCTGAACCGTAATAAAGATCTGATTCTAATATTCATAAATGAAGTTCTATAATACAAGATTGGCTTTTTTCTTTGATGTTTTAATTCAAGAGTAAAACATGGAAGTTTTTTTAAAACATTTTTTTTTATTTAGCAAAATTCCTTATGGATACAGAGGATAAAGGGTTTTTATCGTCAGCAGAACTGGACATATTAAATCTGGAAATTCCTAGATGGCTGGGAGGGAACATGATTGCTGCCTTCAAGTTACTGAAAGCCTCAACTGGAGGCTCACACTCCCCTGTATGACTGTGGAGGGCAGAGTTAGGACTGGGGCGGGAGGAGGCAGATACCTGCCGGAAATGAGGAACAACTTCCCCAAAGTTAAAGAGACTGAGAGGGCAGAAGCAGCTGCCCACAGAGGTGGTGGATTTCCTGTCCCTGCCAGGGTCTCAACCAAGGGGGTGTCTGTCCCCCTGTCGTGACGGCTCTGACTGAGGCGACATCAGGTGGCCCGCGGCTATGAAAATGTACACATTGAGATTGTGGTCTGTGAGGAAGGAAGATGTGAAAAATAACTCATTTCCAGGGAGGAATTAAGGGATGAATAGGCAGAACACAGTGGGCTTTTAGGGTCCTTTTTTATTAAATATATATATATATATAATACATATAATATATATTGTCTCTAAAGAAAGCACAGTAGACTAAAACACTGTCATTTTGTAGGGGACTTGCTTCCAGTGTTTGGAGCAGAAATCTTTTGACCTGTTGAACTTTCTGATGGAATTATGCATGTTTCTGGTAATGCGTTATGTTCTGATAAGGTGAGTTTGTTATTCAACCTCTTGTTCTATGTCACAGGGTCATTGGTTTCCTGGAAGCTATTGTCTGCATAAAATTTGGACAAGATCTCTTCTCTAAGACCCAGATACTCTATGTTGTGCTTTGGCTTCTTTGTGTGGTAAGTCATTACTTTTCTACCTTGAAGTGTTAAACTCCCCATGGTCTCTTCTAAAACAAAACAAGACCCTCTTGTGCACCAAGGTTTCTTAGACATTTATAGACAAGACATACTACTTGTAGTAGCCCAAGATTGGCCATAGTATGAAGTTCAAGAACAAATACACAGGACCACATGGCACCCTAAATTGGTCCCCTTTGTAGGTCTGATCACATGCCTCCAGCAGGTGCATTATACTCTCATTTGTTTCACTTGTGAGCATTCGTCTTCATTTGCTGAGAATGTCAGGTTTGCCTTGAGGGGACGATAGTTACCCATGCCCTGTAATGTGTGTATTACCGTCCAAGGATTTATGTACAAAACGACAGATTCTGGTTTACAGGCCATGTACGGGGAGGGGGTTTGGAGGTAATCAGACCACGAAATCCGCCCCCCTACCTTTCCCCGGGCCAATGTTATATTTAGGCCACGCCTGTGTTGGGCATGTTTTCCTCTCTGAAGGGAAGAGTCCTGGGGGCCTCCAGCTTCATTGTCCTGGGATTTTTCCCTCATCTCTCAAATGAAACAATATCTTACCTTAAAATTTTTGAAATTTAAAATACTGTGATTGCCCTTCTTAATTTGTTTTGTTACTTTGGAGAAAAGTCTTATTTTACATTTAAGATTCTTCACGTTTACTTACTTGGTCTAGAAAATTAAGTCAGGCTTTTAAAAAATTTTTATTATTAGCACATAAATTTCAAACATGTGGAAGTAGATAAGATCACCCAGATTCAGCAGTTACCCACCAATGGCCAGTCTTGTGTCCTTCTGTTCCGCACGTACCATCCCCAGCCCAGCTTACTCCGAAGCAGGCCCACCTTTCCTATTTCAGGATGTCTCTCTAAAAAAAGACATGAATGCTTTTTTGTTTAATGCAGCCACCGTGACATTATCACACCGGAAAAAGAATTCATTCTTTCATACTGTTAAGTCGCTGATCAGTGTTTACATTTCTCATGTTTTCTTCAGGTTTGTATTTTCTGAGTTTATTTGAATCAGCATCTACTCCTTGCAGTTGGTTAGCATGCCCTTTTTAATCTACATATTTCCCTCCATCTCTAGTGCTCTCTCCTTTGCAGTTTATTTGTTGAAGAAACAAGCTCTTTTGTCCTGTAGGTTTTCCCGTCTGGTTTTACTGATGCCATCCTTGCTGTCATTTGCCAGATTTCTTTGTCCTCTATACTTTCTATAAATTGGTAGCTGGATCTAGAGGCTTAATCAGATTCAAGTCCTTTTGTTTGTTTTTTCCTTTTGGCAGGACTGAACTTTGTATTTTTAAAGCGTTTTTATTGCCTTTCACGGTGTCTATTTCTAGGATTACTTGTTAGAAATCCTAACTCTGACACGGCACCTTGAGCCTGTACTGTTTTATCTTGAACAGTGAAAGGGGAGAAGGATCTCTTTTGTCCTCAAACCCCAGAATTCATGCTCAGATGTATTTTTTCCATCACAGTGAGACTAGTTGTAAGGATTGGTTGGGGGGGAGTGTGTCAGACAGGCCAGGAAATGTTACCCTTTGCTCCTCACGTTTCTCTCTGGCATGGGCACCCCAGCTGTGTGAACTGTAGCGGGTACTCACGGCGGGCAGGGGTAGGCATAAGCCCTCACCTGGCACCAACGGGACCACAGGCAGGTTAGAGCAGGCAAGGCTCCTGAGATGTGGGCAGAAGGTGCTTCTTATCAGAGCCTATTGCAGGCCTCCCCTGGGGGGGGCATCAATAGCCAGAAGAGTCTCCCCACGGTCGGCCGAGTCCAAGGAGCTGTCTCTGGTCACCCAGCTGGCCGGGCCCCTTCAGTCTCTAAGTTTTAGAGACTTTCACTCTGTTTTACTGATTAGACACTTAGCATCCGCCCCCTTAAGTTGGTGAATTTTGATGCACCTTGGTGTCTATGCAATGGTAACTTTATCGAGGACACGACCCGTTTCTCAGTCTCTCCATCCCTTAGCGTGGTCCCTTGTAAGTCCATCACCTGGCCAAGTGCTCATCAGAGCTGCCCTGATGTGGAGCTGCACAGGTAGGTGAAGGCAGAGATGAGATTTATTCATGCTTACCCTGCGCCAGGCGCTGCTCCAAGCACTTTTTACACATTGCGTATTTGAGCTTCACACTTTGAGGGGAAGTACTTTGTTATCCCCTCTTTCCCAGATAAAGGAATAGAGAGGTCCCCCTAACTTACCTAAGGTCACACAGGTCGTCCATGGCAGAGCCAGGGCTCAAAGCCAGAGAGTCTGGCTAGAGATTTCCTGCTCCCCCTCCACGGGGTCCCCCTCGGAGGCCCTCCAAGGGCACGTGGGAGTTACCTCTGCCCACTACTGATGCTCAGACATCATCTCGGTGTGTGCGCGCAGAGCCGGAGGAGCTCTGGAGAGAGCAGCCGACAAGCTGGGGTGCAGCTCAGGCGGTCACGTGTGCTCGGGGTCACCCGGGATCTCCCATCTCTCCGGTGCCCAGCCTAAGCCCCGAGGCGAGGCGGCCGCCACCTCCCGACGTCACCCCTCGAATCAGCCGTCAGGCTCCCTGCCATGTGACCCACCCAGCTCCACCCCGTCCTCTCCCATCTTCTCCATCCTGCCCTTCGGATCCGTCCTCCACTCTGCTGCCAAAGGGGTCTTCCAGAATTCAGGTCGGACTCCCTTCCTCCCCGCTTAGAAGCCCCAAGAGAACAGTATTTCCCCCCGACCACCAGGTTCAGAGCAGTTAGGAGACAGGCAGGAAGAACGAGGGCTGTGGAGTCAGAAGCAGCCGCTTCATGACCGAGTGCCCACGTTCTCAGTATCCGCAGCTGATGCCAACGACAGCCTTCCAATCCTGAGCCCCAGGAGCAGACGCACTTTCCTCTCCGGCCTCGGAAAAGCCGGCTTCCCTGCGCTGAGAAAGGATATGGCCCGCTTGCTCATCCCTGTTCCCCAGTCAGTTAAGACACACCGCCCCCTGGGGAAGGGGCGAGGAGTGAGGGAAAGCCGCAGGGTTGCCCCGGGGGCGCTCCCTCTGGGGGGCAGAAACGGCGGAAGGAAGACGGGTCCCCAGCGCCCACCCAGAAGCGGAAATACGAAGTCGTGCCCGCGCGTTCGGGGCCTCACTCTGGGTGGCTCACACGCCCAGCCCTGCAGTACCCCGTCCTCAGGCTCCTCCAGACTGTTCCCGGTTACTGAACACCTCAGCGCATCGTCCTTCCTGACCTGTTCTGCCTGCACCCGAGAGGTTTCCTCTGTCCACGCTGAGCGCGTTGCCCTGCTTTTTCCTCCACCTGGTGAACCTTAATGCCAGGGCCAGCCTTCCATCTGCGCCCCGCGTGCAATACACTCCAGCCTGCAAGGCAGACGAGAGGACTCCCTCCTCGGGGGGAACCGTCCCATTCCGTACATACTTCCTCAAGCTCTGGCCCCAGCGAGACGTTTTCTGTGGTGGTTTATGTCTGTCTCCTCAACCTGGCACTTCCTGCTGCTCACAGAGCTCCATCGTCCTTCAGTACCACGGACGCTAGCACAGCGCCTGAGGCACAAGAAACACTCATCCAATGCGGGGAGACGAAGGGGGTGAGGTCCAGAGACGGAGACCAGGGGGCCCAGACATATTTGACGAGACAGGCAGGAGTGAAGACTCGAAGTGCCCCCGCGCCGGCATCACAGGAAGATGGCGGCCTGTCTGGGGAGCGGGGGCGAGAGCAAGGCGGAGGAGGAGGGGGTCGGACGTGTCTCAGGACCGGCTCTGTGTGTCGCTGGGAATTCAGAGGTTTTTTTTTTTCAGTGGAAAGACTGCCTCACGGAGCAGCTGGAGGCCGGGAGAGCGTGCAAGGGAGGGGACGGAGGAGGGCTGAGCTGGAGGGTGTCGCTGGGAGCTCAGTGAGGACCTGTCCCAGGCAGTGGCATTGAAGGTGCAGCGAAAAGGGCGGCAGAAACCCGGCCCAGCAGGCGTCCCCTCGGCAGCGCTGGGGAGGGCCGCTCGGCTTTCCTGTTGGGCCACTGGTGGCTTCCGGTACTGGTGACTGCTTGAGGGGCATCCGAGAAGGGCGTTGAAAGGAGGTGTGTTAATGTGTGAAGGACCCTTAGATTTTACAGGTGAGGGTGTCTTGTGTCGTTGGAAATTCTGGCCTGTCCAGGAGCTCTGGAAAGACTCGGTCAGCGGTGGAGACGCAGGAGTCGGGAGGCGTCCACGCCTGGGGTATGGTAGGAGTCATTGGCTTGGTAAGAGTTGGGCGCAATAGTGAGGGAGGAGAGGCTGGCTGAGGATGGGGACCGGGGAGCAGTCACATTTTAGAAGCTGGGCTAGGGACGGAAACAGCCACAGGAAAGAGGACTTTACAGATAAGCCAAATCCCCCTGTTAGTGCTCTCAGTGAGGAGTGCCATGGAAAGGGAGCTGGCCTGAAGAGAGGCCTTTGGCTGGGATGATTAGGGGTCCCCACGGCCTTGCACATTTATCAGAGATAAAGAGTGGAAATAAAGTGTGGGTTTAATAAATAGTAAAAAAAAAAAAATGTGTGTGCCCGGCACATTTTTATAATCATGGTTTTTAATTGAAGATCAAGATTGGTCTCAGTCTTAGGAGGGAGGCAAACATTTTTCAGTAAAAGAACACTGAGTTTATGCCATGTCTCCACGCTGAGAAACAAAGCCCCCAATTATTCGCCTTGATTGGGAAGAGAGTATACACAGAATGTGTGATTAATGTAGAAATAAAGGCCCCGTATGCTGGTTGATAAGCTGCCGCAGCACCAGTTGTCTAATAAGTCTGGGTGGATTTGAATGCTGGTAACCATAATATGGAAGCCACACCTGGGTCTGTGTGCTGCCTTGGCGCTCAGCCCTCACGTTTTTTCTTTTTTTTTTCCTTCTCTATCTTTAAACAAAATCTGCACAATTGCAATTTAAATGCCAGGCCTTGACATTTTAAGTGGGTCCTTGCCTAGATTTCCAGAGGTGTGATTGCAAACCCATAAATAAGTTTTTGTCTCCTGGGACAAGTGTGAAAAAGGGCCTCTTGTACCCAGGTGAAGTGGTAAATTTGGCCACCACAGCAGGTCCTTTGAATGGCGATCGTGATAATAAGCATCTGCCATGCAGCACCTGCCAGTGTTTGCCTGCCCCTCCTGCAAAGCAAGGTCTGCCCAGCTGTCTGCTTCTGGAGCAGCCCCAAACTGCCAGTCTGCCCTCCCAGGGCAGGAGAGAAAGCTGAAGAGGAGTCCCACACGCCTGCCCTCTGCTGGGCGAGATGCGCAATGACGACCCCCGCCACACAGTCATCCTCTGGTCCCTGAAGGTGGAACCCTGCCCCTCTCCCCTCCTTATGCAACCTAAGCTGTCTTGCTTTCTCTGTCAAGGAGCTGACATACGTAGTTTTACGTGCTGCAGATCCCCTAGTCTTCCCACTCTTGCCATGCCGTGAAAACGATATATTTAAAAATCTGAACAAGTACTGGACTGTGTTAAAGATTAGAAGTCGTTTTTTCATTTTATAATTTTCGTATATTCATTCATGGCTTAATTTTTTGATGGGGAGATATGAGCTTTCTTAAATAAAAAAACACCCTGCTATACACCAGTTTCAATAGGATTTAATTTTTAAAAATGAACTAGTGGGTCTTCTTTTATTTCATGTTATCTCTCTGCCATTCCTCTATTCCCACTTCACTGGCATGGAAGGGCCACGGGAGCACTCAGACTCCTTTCTTTTTTGACCCGTAAGGTGACTCCGTGCACCCAGCAGACACTCCATGAATGTCGCTGACCGGGAGGAACTGGACCCGGGCTAGGCTGCAGGTTGCCCCTGACAAGAAGGTGCAGCCCCATGTCCCCTGCAGTCCGGGCTCCGTTCTCCGGACTGCGGGCTGGGCACACTGGCTCCTCCCATGATGTCTTTCTTCCCCTGGGAATGGATGAATGGACAGATAAATAATGGATAGCACTCTAAAGACATGTAAACCTGAAATTAGCGTTTCTTTTGATAGACACCCCTAAAATTTGATCCAGGTATGTAAAGAAACCTGTGTTTTGGTTTCAGTCTTGCCACCCTCTAGCTATGTGTCTTTAAGAAGGTCATTCGCCTCTCTGAGTTTTATTCCTCTGCTGTGAGATGAGGATTGAGATTAACATCTCTAGATTTAAAGTTATGACTCTTAGAAAGAACTGAAATTATTCAAGAAGAGACAATTACAGCATTTCACAACTATTTCCATGATTGAGTCAAGGGGTCAGGTCCCAGCAGGAAACACAATGGAAGAGATGGAGGTTAGACCCTGAGGAGGATGTTCTGTCAGTGGGGTCCCAAAGTAAGGAATTCTGAAGAAACAGAACAGAAGTGCTGAGGAATTGATGCTTTCAAACTGTGGTGCTGGAGAAGACTCTTAAGAGTCCCCTGGACAGCAAGAGATCCAACTAGTGTATCCTAAAGGAAACCAGTCCTGAATGTTCATTGGAAGGACTGATGATGAAGCTGAAACTCCAGTACTTTGGCCAACTGATGCGAAGAGCTGCCTCATTGGAAAAGACCCTGATGCTGGGAATGATTGAAGGCAGGAGGAGAAGGGGATGACAGAGGATGAGATGGTTGGATAGCATCACCGACTTAATGGACATGAGTTTGAGTAAGCTCCAGAAGATGGTGAAGGACAGGGAAGCCTGGCGTGTTGCAGTCCATGGGGTCACATAGAGTTGGACACGACTGAGGACTGAACACCACATAACAGCAGAACAGACAGTTGTTTGCTTGGTTTTGGCGACTCCCTCACGGTCACGAGGGGAAACTGAGGCCCAGCTAGGGGGCCTTTCCTGTCCTGTCACATGGTGTAGTCCAGGCAGGCAGGAACTTCCCCCAACTTTCAGCTTTTTGACACATGTTAAAACTCTAGATTTTTAGGTGCTATTTTTTCCCTTAAATTAGAGCATAATTTAGGGTGTAGGGGGCTGGTGGGGCTTACCAGGGGGGAAGTGGAGGTGATCCCAGCCTCTGGGTAACCATGGACCATGCCTGTGTCTTTTCACACAATCTCGGAAGACAACTTGATTTTCTGTCTGTTTTCCTATCTACCTAACAGAAAAACGGAAGCAGCCAGAACTGGGATCGTGGTGGGGCTGCTGAGACTAAACAGCAGTGCCACGCCCAGGGCAGTTTTGTTTGCTTGGTTTTGGCGACTCCCTCACGGTCACGAGAGGAAACTGAGGCCCAGCTAGGGGGCCTTTCCTGTCCTGTCACATGGTGTAGTCTAGGCAGCCAGGAACTTCCCCCAACTTTCAGTTTTTTGACACATTTTAAAACTCTAGATTTTTAGGTGCTATTTTTTCCCTTAAATTAGAGCATAATTTAGGGTGTAGGGGGGCTGGTGGGGCTTACCAGGGGGGAAGTGGAGGTGATCCCAGCCTCTGGGTAACCATGGACCATGCCTGTGTCTTTTCAGACAATCTCGGAAGACAACTTGATTTTCTGTCTATTTTCCTATCTACCTAACAGAAAAACGGAAGCAGCCAGAACTGGGATCGTGGTGGGGCTGCTGAGACTAAACAGCAGTGCCACGCCCAGGGCAGTGGTGTCCTGCTGGGCCCTGCCACCTCCACATGGACGTGTGTCCTCAGGGCCCTCTGGTACCACTGTGTCCCCAGATGGAAGAAAACTGCTTTTTCATTCAGAATCCTTTTCCTGGGCTTCCCTGGAGTTCCAGTGGTTAAGAATTCACCTGGCAACGCAGGGGACACTGGTCCGATTCTGGTCGGGTGCAGATCCCAGCTGCAGTGGGGCAGTCAGCCCCTGCGCCCCAACTCCGGAGCCCACGTGCCCTAGAGCTCATGCTCTACAACAAAAAAAGCCACCATAATGAGAAGCCTGCAGGCCGCAAGGGAGAGGGGCCCCCGCTGGGCACAACTAGAAAAAGTCTGCATGCAGTGAGGAAGGCCCAGCGGAACCAAAAAATAAATATATATATATATATATAAAGTCCTGTTCCCCTCAGAAAGTGACCAGCTAAGTCCTTTTAACTGACTCCAGTGATGGGGGGCAGGGTCCAGAGGACGGACTATGAGAATCAGACCCAAAAAAGAGGTACAAGATAGAGGCCTATATGTGCTCTTAGCCGGAAGCTGCAGAGCTGCTCAGAAAATGCACCTACCTGATCCCACACTTGGAAGAGATCTTCATTCTGACAGGCAGACTCACAGTGATAACCACGGAAAGTGAAGTCGCTCAGTCGTGTCAGACTCTTTGGGACCCCGTGGACTATACAGTCCATGGAATTCTCCAGGCCAGAATACTGGAGTGGGTAGCCTTTCCCTTCTCCAGGTGATCTTCCCAACCCAGGGATCGAACCAAGGTCTCCCACATTGCAGGTCGATTCTTCACTTTACCAGCTGAGTTATCAGGGAAGCCCAGCCAACCACGGAGACACTGGTAACCGAGGTCTCCTCCCAGCTCCTCTCTCAGAAAGCCCTAGCGGTCTTCCCTGCTGTCTCCCGGGGTCGTCACTGCCGCACCCAGCCGTGCTGTACCGTTGTCAGGGGCAGGAGGCAGAAACTCCTTGAGACGTCATGTGTGAATTCCCATCGAACTCCTGAAGTTCGGGAAAACGGAAATTTTGGTTGCACCCTCACTCTAAAACCGTTTTGTGCTTGTTTTTCTCTTCCAGGCTTTCACCACCTTCCTGTGCCTGTACGGCATGGTTTGGTACGCAGAGCACTACGGTCACCGAGAGAAGGTACGGAAGGGAAGGCAGAGATGGCCTTTTGTGTCTGATCACGCCCAGCCTGGGACTGTAGCCCGGAGCACAGTCACGGAGGATGGGGCGTGGCCGGCAGAGTGTGGGCGGGGCGTCATCTCCCCGCCCCGCCCCGCTCCCCAGAAACCCAGCCAGTTCAGAATTCACTTCCTATAGTTGCCATCCCTGCTTGTGACTGCCCTGTTCAATAGGTCCCATACTCTTATCCTCATTTCTTAAGAGGGTTGAAACTTAAAATTATTTGTTAATTTTTTTGCTTGTTTTTAATTGCGGGGCAAGCCCTGGACCAGTTTTTGCAAAGCTGGGTCTTTCACCCTGTGCAGGCCTCCTCCTGCGTCCTGGCCTGGGTTCCCCTGCTGAGCTCTGGCCCGGCTCACTTAATAGTGCGTGCATGGTGCGGGCGTGCTCAGCCACTCGGTCGTGTCCTACTCTCTGAGACCCCATGGACTGTAGCCCGCCAGGCTCCTCTGTGGGATTTCGCAGGCAAGAGTGCTGGAGGGGGTTGCCATTTTAGTCCTCCAGGGGATCTTCCTGAGCCAGGGACTGAACCCAAGTCTCCAGTGCTTCCCGCCTTAGCAGGCAGATTCTTTACCACTGAACCACCTGGGGAGCCCTCCTTTCCTAGTAGAGAAGGATTAAGGTAGAGGATTGATGTGAGTGGGCTTAAAATGCTATAGCAGCCTCGTCAACTGGGATCTTTTTTTTTTAAGTGAAAATAGCTTTCATCCTCTATTTATCCTTTTAGTCTTAAGGAGCTAAAGGCACTTTCTAGAAGATCTGTTCTGCATCACTTGGGAGTCTTCTTGCTCTTAGAGCTGACAGCCTGAGTACCAGGCGGTCCTGCCCTTGCTGATGGGGTCCCTAGCCCAGGAGAGGCCGGGGTGGAGCACCCTTCCTTGTTTGCTGGCTCCCTCCTTCTGGGAGCACTCCATCCCACCACTAAGCCTGCCTCTCTCCCTAGACCTACTCAGAATGTGAAGATGGCACCTACAGTCCAGACATCTCCTGGCCTCACGGGAAAGGTTCAAAAGGTATTTATCTCCCTCTTTCTCTTCGCTAAAAGCTCCCCTAGGTCCTCTTCCCTCCCAAAGCCCAAGTAAAGGGATTTCGAATCAGAATTTATCCTCTGAATATTGATAAATATTTGCCCTAAATGGTCTCCAACCTACTCACTTGCATGTCTCCTCTCACTTATTAAGAAACAAGCAAAAAAAAAAACAAAAAGAAATAAGCAAAGTGCTCACAGGTTCTGCCCAAGAAACTTGGCTTCATAAGAAGAGGCGCCGTGTGGTTCTGCCTCTTCTGAGATAGAAGGACAGAACGAGACCCCACTGTCTCAGCCATCCTGATGAGGATGTTCCTCCTCTTGGCTTTCATTGTGAGTGAGAGGGGTTAGGAAGAGTTGTGTGCCAGGAGAGAAGCCTTTCAAAAAAGAGGCGGATCACCTTGATCGCGTTGATTCAAGAGACGGACCATCATCAGAGGAATTTCAGCAGTGTAGTCAGGGATCTCCCACTGGCCTCTCCCCAAGGAGCATTCTGGAAAGATTCGGGGCCACCTGGTTGTTTTTAAAGAATTTGGCTTGTAGAAAAATGACCCCGAGGAGGCTCCACTGGACAGTACTTCCTCTTCAGTTATGGACTGATCATGGGACTTGACTAAAAGGAAAGAAGTGAACACCAGAGACCTTGAATGTCAATCCTAAGACTGGCTCAGCAAAGCCGGGGTAAGGGAGGGACTGCTCTGCTGAGTCGCTCTCCTGAGTTCTTCAGGGTGAAGCTCAGCACAGCACAACTCACCCTGGGAAAACGCTGCGGAGTGCTGGTCACCCTGCTGGAGGTGGTTTCTCCTGAATCCGCCAACTACTGTGGAATGCGGATGGAGGTGGGCACAGGGTTTCTCCCCAGGGCTCCCTTATTCAGAACCAACCTCCCTGCCCAGAGATCAGTCCATGGCACTTCTAGGATCTCCAGTGACAAGACCACAAGATATAAGCAATGGTACAGATATATTTAAATGAAAGGTAGGCTGACCTTTTAACAAACCAAACAAACAAAACCTGAGCCCTGGAGCAGAGAATCTTGGCTCTGCTGCTAGGCCAGAGGTTGTCCACATGCCCAACTCTGGGGCAGAGCCAGCCTCCTGCCAGGAAGTTCTGATGACCTTCCAGACCTTACACACCCCCTGCCCGGAATGCCCCAGCCCCACCGTCCAGCTGGCTGATAACCTGCTGATTGCTCAGCACTCAGCCCATGTAGACACCTTTCTCTGAGCTCCCACGCGATGGAGCATGACAAAGGATGCCGGCCCTGTAGACCCTGAGCCTCTCAAGGGTCCGCGAGTCTTCCCGGGTGACTCCCGTCTGTCCATCCTGAGTATCGGGGGACATCCAAGTCAGACCCCTGACCTGTCCTGAGTAGCAGGGGAGCTCCAGGTCAGACCCCTGAAGTCGTGTAATAGCTTTCATTTCTATCAAGTCAAGAATTCACTACAGTTTAGGGATTTAGAAACAACCCCAACCAAGGTGGGGGAAATGCCACTGATGCGTCCTTTGGTTGCAAAGGTAGACTCAACACCCACATGGTCTAAGTTTTCACGGGCTCTCCTCTGTGATTTTGATGTGATCTGTGCCCTCACTAATAGCCCCCATCCCCATGGACCACAATCCACCCTGCGGGGAGTATAAAACATCCTCAGGACACCCAGGCCTTAGCTGTGCTAGTTAGCCGAGGGCCGGGGCTTCTATCCGTCAAGTCAGTCAGTTCAGTCGCTCAGTTGTGTATGACTCTCTGCGACCCCACGGACTACAGCAGGCCAGGCCTCCCTGTCTATCATCAACGCCTCGAGTTGATTCAAACTCCACTGGTTCGTCTATGCGTTGGTTTATTAGCAAGGCCACTAGATGGCGCCGGAGGATCAGTGGAGGAGCAGCGGGCGGCCGGGTTAGGGAGCCAGGGCAGAGGGGCAGAGCCTGGGCCCCGCAGCCCGCAATGATGCTGACCGTGTGTCCCGAATCCTCTTGACCAGGTTCTGAAGACGGCCCCACCAAGCATCCAGGCAACAACGAGAGCCATTCTTCCAGAAGAAGGAATCGACATTCCAAGTCAAAAGTCACCAACGGAGTGGGAAAGAAATGAAAAGACCCTGATTCATAATAATCCAAGATGTTTCCAGGGAGTGCCTAGAACTGGGAGGGGACGGAATCGGCCGGACTTGCCGGGAGGAGGGAGGTCGAAAGGCACAGAGTGATTAGGAAGGAACGGGGGCTGGAGGGGGTGGGGTCGTTATTTGAGAGCGTGGGTCTTGTTTCCCACAGACCCGGCCCGCGGGGCAGACGATTGTGGGAGGGGGTCGGGCCTTCGCCCCTCGGGGGTCCCTGGTAACTTCAGCACTTGGCCACCGGTAGCACGACGGTGCTCAGAGGAGGAGACGGTAGCTCTTTACTCAATTGCCGGAGCAGCTTTGTGCTTCCCGTGTTGTGGGTGTGGTTTAAACATTTTCACTAAGACAGGGCATCCCACCGGGACAGTTGATGGACAGGTCACCACCGTTTTCTTTCTCTGAATCTGCCCTTCCACTTTTCTGTGTTTTATTTCGTTACTGCTTGTTTTTTAAGTCGGGATGCTTAATATAAACCTTCAGAAGCCATTGCTGAAGTTGAATTGGAGGAGAGCTCCCCTCTCTCCCAGAGGAAAAAAAGTGGGGAGCGTTGGTGTTACATTTAGCAACCTTCTCCCCCTTTTAGGACCTGAAACCACATGTGGCAGGTAGAAACCAGGCTACGGAAAGGTTAGCTCCCCACATAGGATCCTGGGCGTTAGACCAGAATGTTCCCGTTCCCTCTCCAGTGTCCAGACTTAGCCACAGTGCACAGGTGGGAACCTGCCTGAAGGCAGTGCTCGCTGCGACCCCTCCCCCAGCCAGGTGCCTTTTCCATTTTATTTGTTTTCTTTCATGGTGTGTTGCTGACATTGTCTTTTAGTCCCATGTGAGGTGCTGGTGAGTATTCCCTTTCATCCGTGCCATGCTCTAGACCATTGACCCTGATAGTTCACCACCTCTGATGGATCCCTGTTTTAAATAAAATGGTTCGCGTTAAAACCCATCAAATTCGGCCTCGTTAAATGCTCATTTCTTTGCCTCTTATTGGTACTTTTCACTGTTTGTAAGCGATCACTGTGTTTTTCAAGTGGCTTTAGGATACTGTGAATATGTTTGTGTTTTATGTAGTGAGAAGAAAAGAGGAAAAAATATATATTTTAGAGGGCTTGCAGACACATATGTTCCTTTTTCTAAACTTCCCAAGTGATCAATAGGAAATGAACAAGATAGTCATTGTTGTCTTTTGTGTGTGCGCACTATGGGAGTGGTTACATCAGCCAAGTTGGATTGATTTTTCTAGCAAGTGACCAGTACCCAGTTGATTTTCTCATAAACTCGCTAAAACCAATCACTTTGTTCCCTCCTTTCATAGAGCGCAAAGGTTTCGATGTCTTTCCCCCTTTA